TGGAGTTTACAACCAGTGAACGTGAAGAAGAAATAGAAGCATTGGAGAACTATCAAGTGTTGCTTTAGAAAGCGGAGAACTATACAGTGTAGTTTTAGATAGTAGAGAACTGTACAGTGTGGTTTTAATAGCAGAGAAATGTACAGTGTAGTTTTGATAGCAGAAAATAACATGGTGAATGTTGTTTTTAGCAGAGAACTATAAGATTCCATTTTTGTATGGGTAGAGAACTGAACATTGTGGTTTTTAATAGCAGAAAACTATATAGTGTAGTTTCAGATAAAAAAACTATAGTGTATTTTACATAGCAAAGAACTATACAGTATGGGTTTAAATAGCAGCAGGTTTTTTCCCTGGTGGTACACAATTTGCACAGTGACACCCTTTTTTTAGGCACATTTCAGCACTTCTGTAGTAAACATTTTGTGATGAGTACCGGCATCTTCTTTAAGACACTTCAACAAACAGCAGTCGGAGGAAATGCACAACCAAGACAAGAGACAGAGCATGTTGGAGATCCATTACAGCCAACATTCTTTGTGGAGATGGCACCTGATTGATTAAAACTGGACTTATACCCCACAGTTTAACTGTTGAAATTGTCTTCAGGCCCCAGCCTAATCCCCAGGGAAAATGCCCCCATAATTAAATTATTATACAGATTTCCTGGTGTGTCTAATTGAGCTAGCTAGCCATTGGCATTTATTTGAATTTGGGGTAGACTTCATATGGTCTGTTGTTATAATTAGATAAGCCAGGCTAAAGATAACAAGAGTTTGTGGGGGCTGCGTGGACACAGGTAGGGAAGTAATACAAACATAACATGCTTGTAGGGAAGATATTACCTGTCCACATGATAAGATAAACACCTGGGTTAGTTCCACACCTTTGTCAGAGTTTACCATGGTACTTTTTTTTTAACCTGTGGTTGGGTGTAAATGCTAAAGTGGTGGCCCCGGGCAGCTGTTGTTTTTTCCATAGGCTTCGGTTGTTGAAGAGTGAGTATTGAGCATATGTTTTTAGGAAATATGCTTTTACAATTGTTTTTTCTTCTCCACACACCCTCCAAAATACAGCTGTAAATTATTTTGTGGTATACAGCTAGGCTACGATATCTGCATCTTTCGGCCAACTAATTCGATGTCAACAAATTCATAATTAGTCGCCTTTTACGATATGGTGAAAGGGGCACATTGGTAGTAAATTGTTGTAAGAGTGAGTTTTGTTTCATTTACCTGTGTGGGTTCCGGGGCCCCATTGTGGAGGGGGGGGGGGGGGATGAATAGACCCACTGCCTCCATAACAAGCGTGCCGTAAGAGTAGATTAATTAGGGGTTTCCTACAAAGTCGCAGTGCTTCTGCCTGAGAGGCAAGGAACCAACAGTCTGTGAACGGAATGTGCACACAAAATTTCAATTCTAGAACATGACTAATTTCTCGAACAGTCAATAGTTTCCACTTTAGTGTACCGCAAGTAAATGTGAAGAAGTTGTAGTAGTTATCTCGTTGTTGTGCCATTTCTACCTCTAATAATTGTAAATATATCATAGTGAAAAATTCAAGGTGAATGACTCCTTTCCTGTCAGTGGCACATAGTGAAATGTCTCTGGATCCAGACACTCAGTGGGAGATGTAGACATCACACCAGTCACCTTGACTTCCCAGGACATTTTCCTGGTTCTAGTTGTGAGTCCACTTCTGGACTTTTGTCTTGTCCCAGAGATTAAGTTTTGCATATTCATCGGTTTTGCAGATCTGTTTATCAGTGGGCAGACTATTGGTTCCTTGCCTCTCAGGCAGATGCACTTCAACTATGAAGGAAACCCCTAATTAGTCGACTCTTATGGCTTGCTTATTGTGGCGGCAGTGGGTTTATTGTGTCCCCCCCCCCCCCCCACACACACACACACACACACACACATAATGAAGTCCCGGAATCCATGTGGGAAGGTGGCAAGTTTGATGAGGAACATGTTTTCACTAGCAGTCACACACACACACACACACCAACACAGATAGGGGCTGTCTGTTAATTACTGGTGTGAATGCGTGTGTGTGTGTGTGAGAGAGAGAGAGAGAGAGAGGCTTGCCATAGCTGGGTAAATTTTTAGCAGGCCACGTTTATGGAATTGGGCTAACTGTAAGCGCTAGCCACCAAGCATGAGGTATGCAACCCAGTTAATGATTGACAGCGAGGGGACAGACAAACCAATCTGGGACCATTTGAGTCATTGGCTTGTCAGCTATTTTATGAAAGGTTGTTTTTGCTGCTATCTGTCACTGGTGACCTCTCCTGGCATCTTGCTGGGGTCTTCTTCTTCGGTCTTCACCCTAAAAATAGCAGTTCACACGCTGTGTTGTGGTTTACAGCTAGGCTGTTGTGTCTGCACCTTTCAACTCAATATATCCTGTTTCAGCAACACAAAACCTTACTTTTCCACCATCTCCAATTGGTCGCTTTTTACAGCTGTGGGTCTAACATGGCTCCCCCCTCAAAGTTGGGCTGTGGAACCCACACATGGGTTTCTGACGTTTCGGTATATTTTTGTGCTGTGTTGGTGCTTATCTGGCAGACCTGCCTGTCTGCTGACTGACCTGTCTTCTCATACATGTATGTATTATCCATTCACACATCTACCATTCAACTTATTGAACAGTCTTGTCTGCCGGGCTGTCTGTTTGCCTACCTAATGGCCTGCCTACCTTTCATAAATCCTGACCTTTCCCACTATCACTGGTCTGCTTGCCAGTCGGTCTACATGCTGATTGGTCTACCTACATAATAGGTACCATTTACTATCTTCCTTAGCCATACACCTACCAGCCCACTAAAAAACACTATCTTGCCTATTTAATTAGCTGATTGGGGGTTTTCACTGCGAAGTGGTCAGACTGTTTTCCTAAAGCTCTGAGGGTTACGGGTTTGTTTTGGTTCATGAGTGCAGTTTTTGTTTTACGGAGATCCCTGGGGATCATTGCTGGAGCTACTGAGTTCTTGCTTCATGCAGCAACCTGTTCTACAGTGAGAGAGAAGGAGTGTGTGTGAGAGAGAGACTCTTTCTGGGACAGTGAAGTGAAGTCAACCCTCTCATTTTAAACTGGAAAAACCTAAATTCCTTTGAGTAAAGTTAGCTGCCACTGAACTTACTGAAGACACTATACTGGTCTGATGAATACTATAGTGTCTGCCTATGAATGTTGTTGGCAGTGAAAAAGCCGATTGATTAGCCAGCTCTGCCTTAGTCACAGAGGATCGGCCCATGGATCATGCAGACAGTGTTAATGCAATCAGAGAGGTTGGGCGATCAGAGGATTATGGGAGCAGCACATCCACATTTTAGCTAAAAGTGCAAGAATTGGGGTAAAGATCGGCACAGCCAGGCACGAGAAGCACACCGGACGTACAAGAAGTTTTGTCAACCATCATAGGACTGGGAATTTGAACCGTGGGACGCTGATGTGTATGTTGTAGAGGGAATATGAGCACCTATGGACGTGTCCAGAGTGCCGCAAAGATAACCTTATCATAACTGATAACCTAGCTATCTGTCTACCTAAGGACCTGATGACCAACCTGTCTAGCTACCTGCTTTTACATATCTCACTGGTTTATCTCCTTCTCTCTCCTGTCTGTGATAACATTTTACGACTGATTCCCTATCCCTAACCCAGGAACATCTCATTTAAACAAACATAATGTTACCTACATTCCCGCATATATATTCATCTGCGTACATACAATCCGTTGTATACATTCTTACAGGTACATTCTTTTCCTCTGCGTACATTTGTACAAGTACATATATTCCTTCAAATACATTCATACAGTAAATACATTTCTTAGCTTACATTTATACAGGTACATATATTCCTTCATATACATTCATACAGTACACACATTCCTTCATATAGATTGATACAGGTACATACATTCCTGCATACACATTTATACAAGTACATACATTCCTTTATATACATTCACACAAGTACCTACATTCCTTTATACACTGTTGTACAAGTACATACATTCCTTTGAATACATTCATACAGATATATACATTCCTTTATATACATTTATACAAGTGCATACATTTCTTTGTATACTTTCATATGTGTACATACATTCCTGTCTGTACATTCCTCAGTATACATTCATATAGGTTTATATACATATCAGTGTGTTTTATTTTTGAACTTTTATAGTGAACTACACAAAAAGTATAGGGCTCATGAACATATGTGTGGGTTAACAAACACACAACTCCAGCACACTACATGCATACTACTATACACACTCTACACCCGCACACCACTACAGCCCGCACACCACTACAACCCACACACCACTACAACCCACACACCACTAAACCCTCACAACCCACACACACACACTATTTTGCCTGTAATGCATTGACATCTCATGCTGCTAACTTCTGTGATGATGATGATAACTATTTTGTTTTTGCCAGCTAATAGACAGCTTCCTAGGCCAGAAGCACCGTCGCAGGTTGCCAGGGACATGAACACATTTCTGACCTACCGACAATTAAATGGCCATTGCTGAGACGTCTAAATCTAGCAGCATTAAACAGTATTAAGTAAACACTGAATTAGGGCCGTTACGAGTGGGACACCTAGCCTTAGCCCATAACCAAGCAGGGATAAGTGAAAGAAGTGATTACAGAGACTGCGAACATTAATTAATCACGATGAGGTCCTAATATTTGTTACCTGTTGATGTTGATTTGTTAACTTCATTCCGCAAACTATTCTAGTCCTATATTTATTGGTTTTTCCAAAGCTTATCAGTATCCTCAAATATGCCAGTTTGTATTTTTATTTTGTGATGAAACATTTCTAGTCAAGAAGTGGTGTTTTGGTGTATAGCATCCGGCCGGCTGTGTGATAATGCTTGATGCAAAGTATTTTAAATCGTAAATTTACAGAAGTAATTTATTGTGGTATTGTTCACTTGGCATTTATTGTGCTAAGTCTTGGAAATGATGGCAGAAATAAAACACGAGATTCCCAAAGATGCCATGACAGCACTTATGTCAGAAGCTGCTCCGCTGGGAACTACAAACGGCACAGGTGGTATTGGTGTCAAGAAGTTTAAAGGTAACAAGATCGGCTGTGGAGAATTAAGGAAATACCTGTACGCTGTGGAGATCTATAGACAAGCCAGTATGTTACGCAAGGGCCGAGAGGTCCATAAGATATACGTCAATGTCCACAAAGGGGTCAGCTTTCTGGATGACCGTTTTACGTTGACGGAATTTGGCAAGATGGTGCTTGAAAACGGCAGCGTTCGGGCTGGGCGTGCAAGGAATGTGAGGCAGATTGTTGTGGCCAGGGAGACCCTATACTGCAGCGGCACAGGAGGTTGCAGGCGGGCCTGTGGTGGCTATGGATCCTGTGTTTCAGGTGAGCATTTGTTAGTCATAAAATTAATAGTTGTAACATGTGAATTACACTTTAAAAAAATTAGATCTATGTACATAACATAGAATGTATTTTGGTAACCGAAAAGATCTGCAGAAAGGCCAAGGCTACGCTATAAGGACATAACACAGACTTGACTAGAAAGATACCAACATTAAAACAGCCGCTTAGTAGAGATCAGCTGCAAGCCGACACCTATGGAGGCAGACAGTGAAAGATGGACTCTTGCAGTTTGCAAGTGGCCATATGCAGCAAGCTGTAGAGGGGAGACGTCTGAGAGAAAATCCGCCTCAGCATAATAGAGCAGCAAGGTTTTTGTGTGGACTAGGGGCATAGACTGGCACTGCTGCATTGTAGTTTACGGCCATAGCAGAGGCTGTTCCCACAGTAAGTGGCACAACTCCACAGTCCCTATGAACTGATGGTTAGCGCACATTTAAAAAAAAAGCACAACACAGATTGAACAAAAATGGAAAGTTGCACAGAGGTGCAACTGATGGAGTGAGTGAACAGGGCAGAAGCACAAATAGATCATCACAGTCTGAAGAGAATGATTCAGCTGGAAGTGACCAGGGGATCTGGCTGACACTCAACACTTAGAAGAAAGGCAAGAGACACTGCTGTTTGTACTGTCGCTGCTGAAGATAGGGATGGAGCACTTAAATGTCCAGAGGGCTGTCGGTTCCTAACCCAACTTAACACAGAAACAAAATAATTTTCCACATCTTTTCCAGAGAACTGTGAAAAAATTTCTTTAGCCTCAAAGAACGAGAAATGGTGGCTTTTTTTCAGTGTCCAAGAGAATTGTGTTACCCCAGTTTTTATGACATGTGTAATATGATAATTACATAGAAATCCTGTAAACGATGCATGCGACATCACAGTTGCATATGTAGCATGCACATTTCATAAACGGATGAATCGGCATCACTGTCTTGGAATCCTGTATGGGTTCTGGGGTTCCATTGTGAGGGCAAAAAAAGATTAGACCCACTGCCCCCTTAACAAGAATGTCCTAAAAATCAGCTAATTAGAAATGTTTCCTTGATGCTGGAGTGCATCTGCCTGAGAGGCAAGGAACCATCAGTCTGCAAGCAAGGTCTTTGAAATACGTTTGCATTTCCCGTGTGGGTTTCGGGGCCCTATTATAAGGAAAACAAGAATCGACACACTGCCTACCCAAAAGCATGTTGTAAGAGTCAACTAAATGGGAGCTTCCTTCGAAGTCGGAATGCATCTGCCTGAGAGGCAAGGAACCAGCAGTCTGCATACAAATGAGTCAGATCTGTAAAATGGATGCACACGCAACACTCAGATTCTGGAACAGGACTGCAGTCCAAAAGTGGATGAACAATCAGAACTTTCCACCGGAGTTTACAGCTGGTGAACATGAAGAAGAAGAAGAAACAGGTGTGCATGCAAGACTCAAGTTCTGGAACAGGACTAATGTCCAGAAGTCGACGAACAACCGGAACTGTCTTCTGGAAAGAAGAAGGAGGCTATCTTGGAAGAGCCTGAACATCTGAAGGAAGAGGCCTTGCAGAGATGTGAACAAGACTCTGAGAAACTGATTATCGAAGTCAGTTGCGGACAGTCAGTGTTTTTTGGACCAGTTATGAGAAGGAATTGACTCAAGAACTTAGTAACAACTGGTGGGAATAAATAGCGCAATGGTTTGGCCAGATGGATGAGGTGAGACAAGAACACTGACATGATCCATAATTCTGATGACTGTTGAGATGGCGAAACACGACGGTCTGCATACACTTATCGGCATGGCACATGATGGTGATTGTGTAAAATGGCCAGCTGATGTAAGACACATGATGATTATGGACATGACATTGGCAAAATGAAAATTACAGTCATTACATAGAAACATGAAATTACGCAAGTGTTGAATAAATTACAGTTGTACTGAGGAAAACGATCGGACAAGAATGCATCATTCCCGACATATCAGCTACATCTGAAGCGGGTGCATTGCACCTGTAACAGATAAATAGCACATGTAACTATTTTACGTACATTATACATGTAAATTACATTTTGGAGATCTCGTAAACTTTTTACATTAATATCTAATTAGGTACCTGGCCGGCTGGTGTGGCCTGCCTCGTCCTTTGTATTAGTCCTGGGTCCCTGGCATTCTAGGTCAGTTCTGGTAATAAAACTCCTGTAAGAACCTGTCTTTGAGTGTCCAGCATCATTTCTCTTGGAATGCATCTACAATAAAACCTAGTTCCAAGGAAATGAAAAAGCAAGAGTTCTTATTGAAAAGCTTCATGCTGACCAGGCAGTCAGATGAATGCATCCCGGCTCGCCATGCCGGTTCCGGGGTCCTGATGTGGGAAATACCTACCTAGGAGGCAAGGAACCAGCATTTTGCATACAGATAAGTCAGATCTGTAAAACCATGCAGCACTCAGGTTTTAGAACAAGTCCAGGGATGGGGGAACAGCCAGAACTTTCCATCAGAGTATGCAGCTGGTGAACGAAGAAGAAGATGAATGCATCTCTGCAAGGACAAAACTTTTGTTCATGTGAACCAAATGTTGCCCTTAAGCCAGTTCATGTTAATAAGATTTTACTGTACCTCTTTTTTGTAAGTTTTCTCAGTACACACCCTATCCAGCGCTAGTATCTTTTACTCACCTCTTAATTCACGTGTATAAGTTTAGCTAGCTAAATGAATGGCTTTGTTTTTCTGTCTGCTTGAATTGTTTTGCCTTCACAGTGGAGGAATGGTTGCAGTATTCCATTTGTGCTAGTAATCTTCTTCTCTTGTCCTGTTGTGTCTTTTATTGTCAGGTTGTTAAGTAGCATTGGGTGCGAGTCTTAGTATGTGCTACATTGATGCTGGCATTTATGGCTTCGTATATTCCATCTGTCTCTTGCAAGGTCGACTTCTAGATCTGCTTCTATTGTGTATAAGTGACGGCTCTCTTTTGGTAGTTTTAACGCATGTTCAAACCATTTGATCTGTTGTCTCTTGGTGTAGTTTGTTCTAGTGTTTTGGTATCTTATGTTCATATAATGTCAGACCATCATTGTCTGTGTATTGATTCCCTTGCTGTTTCAATTTGCAGGATGTGACAAAATCAAAGTTAGGGGCCACAAGTGCAGCTTTCGGGTAAAGCTGACAATGCGGCTGGGTTTTGTAGATCATTGGTTTGTAGAGATACTTGGGAGCCATAACTGCTACATTGAGGATGGAGAAACCCCAAATGATGTGGACAGAATGCTGGCTGACTATGAGACTAAGAGCAGTGATGGCGAAGACAGCAGCATTTGCAGCTCTCAACGAGAATCACCTCTAGTAGATGCAGCTGCAGCATTGGCAGCCAACCAGAATGTGACCAGTTTCTTCCCACCCAACTCATCCCATCACACCAGCCCTTCAGTTCTTCTGGCTTCAGCCCATTGTCCACTCAATGTCCCTCTATTCCCAGAGTCTTATCTCATGACTGTAGCCAGAAATGCTGCCGCTGCAATTGCAATGTCCAATGGAACTAGTCATACCAGATGTCAGCCTTCACCGTTGAGCCTTTCCATGAAGCATGAAAGATCTCCAGACATGGTTGTCCACGAAACCATGAACGGTCTTCTCCACCCTTCAGTCTTCAGGATGTTGCCACCATCGACGTCTTCTACTTCACCACCAACGGGAGATAACGGGTGCAGTCCACACACGCCGACCACTGATGCCATTGATCTGTCCACTCCCAAGATAAAGAAAGAGGAAGGAGCTCAAGATCTGAAAAGAAGTAGTTCATCAAGCCCAGCGGAGGCAGCATTCAGACATTCTCTCTCACCATTCCTCAATCACAGCCATAGTCTCTCATCCAGGAGTCGTGTAAACATTCCAGCTTGCCATGAAAGTGATAAAAGCAGCAGCAATGGACATGGCCAAAGCACCAACCAGAAAAACATCCCCGGAGAAAACATTCCAGATTCTTTCAATGCCTTGTCTTCAGCATCACCAAAAAGTGTCTTAAACTCCATTCCAGCAACTCAGAGATTCTCCTCCTCTTTGATCCTGCCTTCCCCAAACTCTCCATCAATATCAAAGAATCACCGGTACCTGAAAGGAGGATTTAGAAACCTCAAGCCTTATGTAGTCCCAAACCAAAACGTGGTTGGAAGCACACCCTCGTGGGCAGAACTGGAAAGAGGTTTTGCAGGAGAACATCCTGATGAGATAAAACACAGCAGACTGCACATAGAAGAGCTTGATAAGGTATAGAAGAGGCTGTCCATTCATATAGCACCATTTCCTTCCCTGCAAATGTCAGCATTGAATTATTGTTGCATTATGGTTTGAAGGGAGCTGGGTTATGGTGTTTGCTGGTCTCATGCTTGGTTGTGGTGATCTGTTGATGCTGTGGGTTGTTTGTGGCACTGTTGCATGTGGGGCATTTCTTTTGGTGCATGTTGGTGCATTAGCATTATGTGTTGTTTCCTCATGCACCTGTTTAAAAAAAAAAAATATGTTTAATGCATGATTCCTGTAGCAGACAGAAATGATCTCATCGTTAATTTTCTTCATTCATTCACCACCAGCCAACTGATTCATTGTCTGTACTCATTCACTTCATGACTCATTTTCTTCTCTCATCCACTAAAAAAAGTTAGTTGTGTATCCTTTACAGGATGCTGCAGAACCAACCCTAGCATTTATTTTTTGTTGTGGTTTTTCCCGGCAAATTTTTGCCTTTAGTAGTTTGCCATTGCTCCCTGAATGGTCAGCTCTCGGTACAACTGCCGAAACCAGCGCAAGACAGATCGTCCGCAGCAGGGATAGAACCCGGAACCCCATCATTACGAAGCGGGTTCGCAGCGCCAAAGCGACACTCATTATCTTCACTCACTTTCCACCAAAACCCATAAATATTATTAACTTGCTAGCAACCTTTTTTCCCCATGACTCTGTAAGTAATTTATAATTCACTTGCTTCTTTGTCAGTCGCTTGTCTTCGCAACACTGAAGCAGGTCACATAAACAGGCATTGACCTGCATGTGGTCCTTATCTTGGTGCTGAATGAATATATTGTGCTTGCTGAATTAATTCATCGCGCTCCATCTCTTCTCCCCCCCCCCTCTCCCCCCCCCCACACACACACACACACACACATATGCTATTTCTTCTGACCGATAAGTTTAGGAAAATAAATTACACTGTGAGTTAACTTTCCTTCTGGTTTTGGGTCGCACCTTCTGCTTTTTTTTGTTTTGTTGCTGTTTTGTTTTAAAATGTCAGTGAAGATAGGAGAGTCCTCCATATAGGGAAATATTCAGATGCGTATAATTGCTGTGCACACTGCTTAATCAGAATGGCTGTGAAGTTGGATAAAAATTTTGGAAATATTATGATTTTGTAAAGAATCTTTTCAACATTTAGTATATAATTTTACATGGAAAAACAAAGAATATAGGTCCTATCTTGTATTGGACATGTGTGTCTTGTAGTCATAAAAAGTTTAAAGCATTGTTAAAGCAAACTTATGCACCACATTAAGTGATATGTGCAAATAATGAATTATTGTTTTCCCTTGTGGGTTCATGGGCTCCATTAAGGTGAGTGGGGGGGGGGGGGTGGGAGAGACCCCCCCCCCCCCACCACCACTTGCTCCCTTTACAAGCATGTTAAATAAGACAACTGATTAGAGGTGTTTCCTTTGAAGTCTGAGTGCATCTGCTTGAGGGATGATGAACCAGCAGTCTGCATACCAATCAGCCAGATTTGTAAAACGCATTTGCACACAAAACTCAAGTTCCGGAACAGGACTGAAGTCCAGAAGTGAATGAATAACCAGAGTTTCCCACTAATGTGTACAGCCAGGGAACGCAAAGAAGAAGAAGCAGATGAAGTGGAATTCACTATCTTGTTTTAGTTTGGCAAGTTTGGACACACAGAAAACAACACATTAAAAAAAAACTGCTTGTATGTACCACTTTTAAGGGTTGGGGGGGGGGGGTGTTAATCCTTAAGCCTAACGTTTTCAGGCCACATTGCTTGTGTAGTTGCCAAAGACTGCAGGTTAGGATGCTTACTTTTGAGATGTTTGAATGTACAATCTCAATGTTTGGTCATTTTGATCAGTCAATCAGGTACCATCTTCACAATAAAGGTTGGCTGCTGTGAACACACACTCTGTTTGTCTGTCTGTCGGTCTCTCTCTCTTGCTCTCCCCACCCTCTCTCTCTCTCTCTCTCTCTCTCTCTCTCTCTCTCTCTCTCTCTCTCTCTCTCTCTCTCATTCACTCTCTCCCTCCCTCCATGTTTGTACACTGTGAGACTGCTGTTCAACTGTCCCTTGATGTTGTTCTCTCACTTGAATAGCTGCTTACTCATGTTCTCTTGCCTTCAACTGGTAATTTGCTATAGGGGTCTGTGATTGTTGTGGTGGCATAAATCTTAGAAGCTTGCCTGCCATCCTGAAAGTTAAGGCTTCCTGTTCGCGCTGATGGAGGTCTTCCCTTCAACATTGACCCTGATTCCTAGAATGTGCATTTCAGCCGAGCACATCCTTTTTTTTTGGTGTTCAGCAGCTGTAAACTCTAGTGGAAAGTTCTATTGTTCATCCAGTTCTGCACTTTAGCCTTGTTCCTAAACTTGAGCTTTGCATGCAGATCCGTTTTACAGATCAGGATTATTGGTATGCAGAGTGTTGTTTCCTCTGTCAGGCCAGATGTGCTACAACTTTGAAGAAAACATCTGTAACTAGTCACATCCAACAACATGCCTGTTAGGGGGCAGTGAGTCCACACACACCCCCCCCCCCCCCACCTCCCTTCATGGGGCCCTGGAATCCACACCACATGGACAGCACATCCAGTTTTGGCAAACTCCCTAATCAATTGCCTTTTAGGACATCCTTTTTTTTAAGGATGACAGTGGGCCTGTTCTATTTTTCATCACCCCTGGAACCCACACTGGGAGGTGGAAATGTTTGGTCGGATCTGTGCACCTTTTTTCTTGTCCCCAGTCAAAGTATGTATTTAAGTGAATTCATTTCCATATTCGCTGGTTAATTAAGCTAATCCCACATAGATCATTCTGCTACACTTTGTAATCTAGAAATACCGACATACTCTGCATGCCATGGGGAGACAAATAAAACAACATATTGATGTGTCTGTGATTGTCCTGACATTGTTTCTAGGTCATGCACTGAATTGTATCCCAATTTGTGTCAAATATCTTGTTGTGTTTTAAACGCCAAGTCTAGTCACTGGCTTATTTAATGCATGCCTGCATTTCTGTTGTATGTTAAGTATCATCATCATCATGTTCTTTAAAACATGTCATAATCATAATTTCCTCTGCCTTGTTCCTAATCATGCAGTTACTTCCGTTTAATCCTCGTCTTATTCTTCTTCCTCTTCCTGTTTTTATTGTTCTTCTTCTTTTTCTCCGCCTGCTACTTCTTCCTTTTCAAATTTTCTTTCTTTTCCCTTTTCATATTAATATAAAAAAAAATTTTAAAACTTATTGTGGCGAAAAACCCCAAAATTGCAGAAAGAACACAGTATCAATAAAATAATGCAATTATAGTATTAATTCAGCTTTACCTATATATTAAGATATCTCTTGTCATAATGTTGTATACCCAGAACCACAGTTTACAGGGTCATTTCAAGGGTGGGGTGAGGGACAAACACTGTCAGCCTACAGTAGTTTGACTTTCCATCTGGAGATCTTGACACACATCCCCTGTCCTAATTGCAACACAGTCGTTTATTTCAGAGGTGTTACATTTTCTAAATATGTCTTCATATTGATATTTTCTCCTAATGCGTACTTCTGATTTCATGTTGACCTTGGTGGTTTTGTCCATTGAGCTTTATAGTTGCAGTTTATCTTGTATTTAGTACTCCGTTGACAAAGACTTTGGTCAAAATCCCAACTCATGGGGGAATCAAAACTTGTAAAACCAATGACCCTATTGTAGGTTAAATGTTGTCTGTAAATAAAATTACTTTGCGCTAGCCAGTTTGGAATTTATTGTACTCTTCAATGTATGGAAATTATAATACCACACTTGACAATACAATCAGCAGATCTCGCTGAGCATGCCTCAGCGAGGATTTCATTTTCTGGGATCAAATGGTACCTGCCCCTATGCACCCAGCTTTTTCCGCCTCATGTTAATTGCTACTTGTCTGCTTAGAATGCATGAATGTTTCCTTCATTCAAGCATACTTGATTGCCAAGATTGAACAATCAAACCTCAGTTATGATACATTCAAAGAGATTTGATGTACAGATTTGAGGCAGATGTCTTCAGCTGGAAAATATGTGACTCATTCAGAATTCATGGTAGCTGCCCTGAAATGATATCCTACCTTTATTGTCAGTAAATTTAGAAACACACTGATGGTCCTGGAAGCTTCACGATGAGGCAGGAGGGAGGGGATGTAGATTTACTTGGGTGCTGTTCGAGGGGTCCTTGTTTCATTAGGGTTTGCGATGGCTTGAATGGGTAGAATACGGATTTAAGTAAAAAGGGCTTGTTTGGGTAGAATGCGGATTTAGATAAAAAGGTGTAAAATGGGCTTGGTTGTGTTTAATGCAATGGGATTGGTTGGGGAAAATACAGATTTAGATAAAAGGGGCTTGGTTGGGTAGAGTACAGATTTTAATTTAAAAAACAAAAGGTGTCAAATGGGTTTAGTTGTGTAGAATACACATTGAGAGGAACAGTGTAAAAGGGGGTTGGTTGGGTGGAATGCAGATTTAGATAAAATGGTGTAAGAGTGGTTTTGTAAAGTAGAATGTAGATTTTTCCTGTGTGGGTTTTCTGGGACCCATTTAAGGGTGTATAAGAATAGACACATTGCACTTCTTTCTCTCGTCCAGCAAGCATGTCATAAAAGGTGACTCATTGGGATATTTCCTTCAAAGTCCAGGTTTGTCTGTCTGGGAGGCAAGGAACCAACAGGAGTGGTAACTTTTGTGTGTGTTGCTAGATAGGTGTTAAAGAAGCTTAAAGTGATAACCACTGTTAGTTAATGGGTGTAAAAAGAGGCTCAGTTAAATCATAACTTTTAGCTAGGTTGGTGTTTTAGCATCTTAGAGTGAAAACCATTTTAGCTGGGTAGGTTTAGAAGGGGCTTGGAGTTATTACAACAGCTAGGCAGATGTAGAAGGTGCTTTTGGTGTAGTTCTAGCTATAAAGGTATAGAAGGACTTGGAGTAGTTGTAATTAGAAGGAGAATGGGTGGGCTTATTGAAGTGGTTGTAGCCAGAAAGGTGTCTTCTTATTCTTCTGCATTTATTGCCAGATCGGTGTAAGGAGACTGAAAATCTTGTAAGAGTGGTGTTGATTTCTAGCTAGAAAGTTGTAATGAAATTTCCATACCATTGTAGAACAATTCTCAAATTTTTTCAAGTTCATATATACCTATGATCTCTGTTGCCTTATCTCATCTTGTCGTTATATCCGGCAAGTCTAACCCGGGCAACAAATGCCTGGAGAAGTTGTATGTGTTTTCAGAAATTTAAAAATATCTCAGCTATGCTGTAAACTGGGACAGCACAATTCTGCAAGGATGCAGAAGAGAAAGAAGAAGACAAAACTATAATGTTTCTTTATTTAATGTTTTGAAGCTTCCTATAAAATTACTCCAAAACTGATACAGTTTTGTTTGTTGGTGCGTGACACAGGGCCACATTATAAATAGAGGGAAAGAGGGGGGGGGGGTCAGAATGTTATTGTAACTGCTTTTATGGTTTGATTTTATATTTTTTTTTGGGGGGTTTGTTTTTTGTAAACTGTGTGAATGGTTAAAGTTGAGAGAATCGACTTCATTGCACTGGGTTCTATCCCATATAGCTCAGTCTCCCTCTGCAGAACAGCTAGCTCCTGCTAAGAAACTTTGCTCACAGCTATGACCCCTAGGGATTTGTGTAAAAATTGCACTCATGAACTGAAATGCCACAGTAAAATGAATCCACAGCCTTCGAGGCCTGAGGCAGCCAAATTGACCACTCCACCATGGATTTATGCTTGTGTGGTTGGTTTTCAATCTTGTTGGAAAAGTTTTGAATTATAACCCACAAGCAGAGTGCCTGGGCATTCCAGTCATCTAAGCCAGAGCTTTTTAGTTGGTGGCCCGCTGGCCATATCCTGCTGAGGCCTAGCAAGTGGTAAACGAATCATTGCCAACTGTATTTTATTAATGATCTTTCCATGCTGGGGCTCGGGCCTTTGGTACTGCCCCCCCCCCCCTCCTCCTCCATTCCCCCGTCGACGATCTTCATTTTCAACATTTGTGTCCATTTGTAAGTTTAGCTGAGCAGAACCTGAAAGGCTGCTTGCATTTTTCTGAGCGAGGTTAGTGCTCTCAACCTACTGTGAAAGTATCATTTCCATGGGGACTGTGTTATAGAGCTCTCCTTGCCTTTTCCATACTTAAAAAAAAAGCCAGTTGGATGTGCAAAAAGTGTTGAGACTTTTAATTTAGTATTGTAGCTAACTAGTATGCATATTCAGGACTTGTTTCTCCTGACTAATATGGCACCTTTCCAGGCGATAGTGTTGCACTGTGCTTTAGGGCGGCATGGGAATCACAACCCATGGCGATGATGAGCAAGACTAACAAGACCTGTTCATGTTAAAAATCTCCCTTTAGTAAGTGCAAGAGATTTCAAGACCACTGTTGCTATCAGGTGTCTTTACGATTTCAGAGCTTTAATGGATGAACATGTTTACCATGGGTGCTTGGACCTCCCTTTGTACAATTATCCCATTTGAACTGGTGCAGAAATCGGGTCTATATATTCAGCAGGTTCCCAAGCCGTGGGTTTTCGGCGGGGCTGCCCGACCTGTGATGAGCTTTGACCGTTTTTATAATGAGAAAAAAATAGAAAAGAAACAAATTATATCATGCACAGAGATTTCTTTGCAGAATATGGGCACTGTTTGGCTTATGATTTTGGATTCTTAGTGATATATGGGTGCTGAGTGTCTAGCCTTGTTATTTTGCAAAAAGCAGAGGCTTTTCTTCAATAACATTAAGTTAGTATTATTGTGAATTATGCTATACTGAAAAATCTTTTTTTTTTGGGCATGTATTTTTATTTAAAGAGCCTATTGATATTGTCAAGGGTCCTGGGTCACTTTGCCTCTGTAAAATAGTGGCGCTACTCAAGAAAAGTAGAGGAACTGCTCATTTGTACAGTGGTCTCGTGCCATTTGGCTCTTATAATCAATCATGCTACCTGAGTTGTTCGTTGTTTTATGCTATTTGAAGAATTAAAGTACTCCTATTTTCTTCTTTAGTAATTGCAAAAAAAGATCCATATTTCTTCTTCTGTACATTTGCCCTTAAAAAGCTGGTTGGCAGTTTGTGTTGTGGTTTACAGCAAGGCTGTGGTATCTGCATCTTTTGGTCCAGTATGTCCAGTTTCAGTAAATTCCTAATTAGTCTTCTTTCACGACATGCTTGTTATGGAGCAGCAGGTTGGTATATTCTCTTTCCTCCCAGAATGACCCCTGGAAGCCACACTGGGATGATCATTGTTTCATGTGTGTGTACTGGCATAGGACAGATGCATGTTTTCAAAATGTTCACTTTGTTTGCTGTTCATGGGTTCATAAGACTGTACAAATGGCAAGAAATATTTATTTAATGGCTCTGGAGAAAGTGTGAAAAATCACACAAGAAACTAGTTATTTTTTAATTTCAATTATATGTTAGGATTTGTTTTCATCTAACCTTCTTTGACTATTCAAGATATTTTTGGTGTTAAGTCTGTTTGTCTTTTAATATCCAGTTTTAAAAAAAATGTGTAATGTGTGCTCATAGATTCATGGTGGCGGAGCCGCTAGACACTCACCTGCTGGCCCCAAGGCTTTGGGCTGAAATCCATTTCGAGTCCCATTTCCCCCCATTCAGAATTATCCTCGGATGCCAGGTCAGCCCAATTTAAAATGGACACCAGATAATTTCCTGAGAAGTAAAGGCAGCATGTGTGATGTTGACCACAACACCTCCCACTAAGTGTCCACAGGTCTGTACAAAATGAGCCCGGCATCATATACCTGACTTGAAAAAGGGTCTTTTATTAATTTTACTTGAACGTGTGCTCATCTACTTCCAGGACCTTATCAACAGAGTCCAACAGTTGGAAGCCCACGTGACCCAGCTCAGGAACATTGTACTCAAGCAGGATGGGGACAATCACGGACACAAGAAGCAGCAGCGGGAGTTTGATTTTACCAAGTAAGGCTGCAGTAACATCGCTGAGAATCTTTCCTTACACTGTTCATATTTGATACTGAATCTCTGTTATTGTTGGCACCTTTCCATCTTTCCAGAAGATAGTATGATATTGTGCTATAGGAATCATCTTGGTGATTTGGCGAGTGTGATTAGCAAGATCCACTCACATTAAGAACAGCCTTTTCAAAGTAGAGCGTGGGATTTTGGGACTATTGTTTCCATCATGTATTTAGCCTTTTCTTCTTTCTCGACATTCAGTTCTTATCTGCAGTCATTTTCTCCTGTATCCCTATTTATTTCCTGATTTTCCCCCTCTATGCAATACGGTTCATGGCATCCTGTTACCATAAATCCACATCACTACCTGCATCATTCATGTCTCGCTTGTGCACATCTTTATATGGTAGTACTGACCTTGACATCTTTAACCCTTCTGTAATTCACCATAGATGTCATCCTTAGGGACTCTACCATCCTCCAGGTAGCCAGCTGCGCCTTTGAAGATAGCGTTTATAAAACGTTTGTGATACCTCTCTTTCAAGTACCTTAGTGTTTCTGATCTCTTGTCCTGCCACGTGATACCAAGTATTGTTTCTGTTAATAATTTAGTATAGTCTCTGATTATTAATTTGTTCACATTTTAAAGTAATTTTTATTGTTATTGTTATTTGTAAGAGATCACTTTCATTGTTGAAGTTGGGAAGGCAAACACAGCAACAAATGCCTGACGAAGTTGAATATGTTGACCCAAAGGCACAACTATTTCAAGGGTCTTGGGCTTTAACCTGCTTTGTGGCGGATGTTTTTTCTCACTCTTCCAAACTGAAACCTTGGTGCACAGGTCAGCCCAGCCTAAATGGGGTAGCAGGTGATTTCCTGGGTAGTAAAGGCAGCTGGTGTGAGACTGACCATGTCATCCACCGAGTGCTAATTGGTTATAAAATATGAGGAACCTTATTTGCCCGATGTGCTGCTGGCATCAGAAGGCTCCTGTACTTTTACACGTTTGGTGAATATACATCAGGAAGTGGGTTCATTTAGTGATTATTTTGAAATATTACCTGGGCTGCAGCCTATTCAACCTAGGTTTCCAAGTCAGCTTGCCTAAAATATTCACCAGGTAAGGACCTGGGAGGTGAAGGGCTGAGTGGAATGCTGACTGGTACTTGCCAAATATGGGTCTGTTGCCATGTGCTTATTGTGCCAATGGCATGTGAAAGGATTTTTGTTTGGCGTGGCTTTTTTAAATTCTACATTTATTTGTTTAATTTTAGTATTCCAGGGATTTTTTTAAACATGTTCTTTGAGCTTTTCATACTAATCTGAGAGGGCAAGATATCTGATTCGCTACCCAGGATAAAGGGAGTGTAAATAATGCTTTTTGGCCATATTTTATGAAAATGTGAACATTCAGCACTGAGCCTACATTAATACACTCCCCATCTCAGGTGTGACATATTTACACTTGCCTGTTCTCTAAATTTGTCTGTCTTGTATGGCATCAGGTGTTGGTAGTAACAGTTGTTAGTTAGTCGACAGTCCATCCTCACTGCACATTGAACCGTTCACTAAATTCTGAAGCATGTAGAGGCCGACGACACCAGTAATATGCTGATTTATTATTATTTGGCTTCTTGCATGGTTCTCATACTTTGCCTAACCCCTTTAACTAGCCCGTGAAGTAGTCAGATCATAGGTCAGTCATCACATGGTTCTTGCGTATGTCTTGCATCTAGTAAAGCATACAGTATATCATCAGCATGTCCATGACTCTTCCATCCTCACCTACAAGGCTATCGGCTTGTTTATTTCCTTGCACACTGATATTTGTCAGTCTTGACCGCCTAGTAAGTAACCGGTGTGTGTTCACAGGTAAAACCCCGCCATGTACTTATCTTTTTTAGCCTTGACCACCTAGCAAATAACCGGTGTGTGTGTGTTCACAGGTACAACACCCGCCATGTTGCCCTGAAGATAGCCTACTTGGGCTGGGACTACCACGGATTTGTTGTCCAGGAGGACACGGACAAGACCATAGAGGCTGCCTTATTTGAAGCCTTGCTGAAAACTAGGCTGATAGAGACAAGGTAGGTCAGTCTGCATTGCTGTCATTATCAGAATCATCTTCACTATCATCTATTCTTCACGTAAGATCACATGAGAAGAAAAGTGCATAGATTTTTTGCACTGGTGAGGATCTGGATGTAACCTGTTCTACATCCATTTTTCTCTTGATTGATTGACCTGACCAGACTTGATGTCTGGGGATTTTAAAATTACCATTCATGTCTGATTTGATAACTGCTAGTAACTGCTCATGAACCAGTACTAAACTACATCAAGCGACAACAGATCAAATGGTTCAGACGTGTGTCAAGACTACACATACCAAGGCTCACACCTCGTGCCTCTTCAAAACCTGTCGCAGAAAGGCAGAACAGGACTAGAGAAGAAGAAATAAAAAACTGCTCATGCTTTGATTAGAGGCAGAACTGAGACCATCTATATCCTGTTAAATTATATTGAGTATATATTATATTATTTAAAAGTAAAGGACTCTTTTCAAGCCAGTGGCGTATAATAATGTTAGACTCACATTTTTTAAAACTAAAAGGCACTTGATGGGTGATCTGGTCAACATCATGCCGGCCACCTTTACATCCAGGACTTTTTGTGTGGTGCCCTTTTAAGGCTGGGTGGATTTTATACATACATACACAGACACACGCACGCACGCGCACACACACACTGATATATATATATATATATATATATATATATTCAGGATAGTGAAACGGTAGACTGCCTAATTGCACCGTTAAACTCCGCATATTTTCTGCTGCAGCTGAAAGAACCAGCAGACTGAATAATTTCTGGACTGATCTAAATATAATTTCCATGATAATTTATTAAAGACCTCATTTTCTCTACCGTGTGCATTCTTCATGTGCTAAAGTTGGGTTGTGATTGTGGGGGGGGGGGGGGGGGGTTGGATATATTGAAAGACATGAGTTGAGGGAAAGATATCTTTAAAAGATGTTATCACGAGAGATATATTTTATGATTTTCATATGTAAATCACAAGTATCTATTAAATACTCCTTCAAATGTGTGTGTGTCACAGGGAAGCATCAAATTATCACAGATGTGGACGGACAGACAAAGGTGTCAGTGCCTTAGGACAGGTATGTCGTCTTTAACAAAAAAAAAAAAACAACAAAAAAATTGTTTTTGTTTTAATTTTTAGCTAAGACACCATGGAAATAAAATTTCTGGAAAGGACTGCAGGATTAACCAATAGAGTTAAAATCAGGAATGAATTTATAAGAGGAAAAGGTGGCACAAAACCAATACTAAATTGCATACAAAGACAAAAAATAAAATTTCCCTGTTGGACAGAATGCCTTTGTGAAAACTATAACTTACAGGACATACACGAAAAGAGGAGAGTGGGTGTAGAAAATGAGGTAGACCAAGAACAAGAGGGAAAGATAATGTCAGAGAAGCTCTATAACAGTACAGTGTGTCCAAGATTGAGGCCACCATAAGAGCAGGAAGCATAATGGTGTATCTCCCTCGACACCTGAATTAGTTTAAGATTAAATGCAGAAGAAAAAGTGAAAACATTCATTGTGGGCATGATGTTTTTAAAATGTGTCAGATTTTGCTGGCATTGACCTTAAACAATTTTTTTTTTTGCGTGGCAAGCATTGAATTATCAGTGCAGACAAGGACCCCTGCTACAACTGATCACTGGAAATTATTACCACAGAAAGGATATGCCTTTGAAGAGCTGCCAGAGTGAAAAGGGGGGGGGGGGGAGTGAGAAATTAGAATATTAGGACTGAAAGGCATCAAGAAACAAAAACGTGACATGAAATTAGCAGCTCACAGTATCATACCAAGCACTCGGCTCAATAGCTGGGCAATGGGACTTTAGACTTCCAGTCCAGAAATGGGGAAATTGCATCAGCAAACCACAGCCAGAAGCTAGTAAGTTTTCAAAGCATCAGTAGCCACCTGGCCTGTCTGGCATATTTAACTGGAAGGTAACTGCTATTAACACAGTTTTATTTTACTAGTTTGGTGTACAGAATATTGTGTGTATTGTGTCACAGGTGATATCCATTGATTTGAGGACAAACCTCTTGTCTGGTGTGGGAGTGAAGCAGCGTGAGGATGGGACAGCATGTACTCGACCAGGTAAGTTGTTTGCATACCACTCCTGTTTTAGAGCATCATATCTTTTGAGTTTTTCCTGGTGGATTTATTTAGGGGATGGGTTAAGTACGCTTGAAGTTTGGTTTTCCACTGCCAGTGGGAAAAATACCATGTCCAATTGTGGACAATTTAAAAAAAAAAAGCTAAGAACATCTTTCTTTTCCCTGTTCTCTTGTTAAAAGATTGGTTGTCTAGTCTTCTTATACCAGGACATGTGGATTTGAACCCCAGCCTTTCTGGCTGATACTTGAGCATCTAGCACTGCACTACCCATGGGGACTATACTTGTTCATAACTTGATATCTCTCTAATTCTATAATTTAATTTTCTGTCATTCTGCAAACTCTTCCTTCTGTTCTCTGCTCCTGGAATGCATGGCAGCGTCAAAGGAGGTAGAATTATCTGCATCAGGCCCTTCTGTTTGCTTCATATTTAGTACTTTTCAATAAGTTTTTTTCGTGGTCTACCTCTGGGCACCTCTGTATCTATATAACATTGCTCTTTGTGGTGCCCTGTCTGTTGTCAGTCTTGTTATGTGGCCATACAATTTGATCTAGTGTCTACTGATAAAGTTGGGTATTGTAATGGTTCTCTCTGGCTCTCATTCTGATATGGTTTCTAAGTCAACCTTTCCTTGTTACCCCTAGCATGATACGTAAACATTTCATTTCTGTCATGATTATTATTTGCCTTCTTTTGACAGTGTTAATTCCTGATGAAAAAAATACTGTCATGATTCCTCTCTCACTGTCTTCCCTTATATCTTATATAGTTATCTTATCAGTTGCTACAGTATGTTCAGTCTTGTACAGGCTCTGCTGTTTTCTTTATAGGTGACAACACAACAGAGATACGTTACGTTTACATACTCAACAAGGTACTGCCACCAGAAATCAGGGTGTTGGCATGGGCACCTGTCGACACAGAGTTCAGTGCACGGTAAGGTCAGACAGTTTTTTTTCTCTCATCTCAGGTGGGTCATAACTTAAAAAAAAAGGTGTATAACATATATTATAGGCTGCATGCAGTCATGGGACATAGGCTGCACTCTCTCGTGGGATGTAGGCTGAGGCTGTGGGGTTAGATGTTTTGGGAACGTTAAAAGCACTCACATTGTGCACACACATATGTAGAACACATGTTATCGCCAGCCGCTGACAACGAATAAAATGCTACGTGTTGCTGGCCAGTCACTAAGCCAATGCAACATAGGACGACACTACGATGCATGAATGGCAAGGGAAGTCACTCTCACAGTAGAGCAATGAGGATGATGTGCAGCGGGGTATCATAGGGGAAGCATAGAATGGTAACACTGAAACCTATCATGCATGAGACAGCTTAGACAAGTTGGGGTCGTTTCTCAGCATGCTGTGCTCATTAATAAGATCTTTGTTGATGGGTTCACTTTGTCCGGAGAGTAGTGGAGGTGATGAGGTTTTTTTCTTTCCAGTGTCTGTTCACAAAAAAGATGAAGATGGCCAGAAGATGAAGAGGATAACAAAGAAGAAATTGAAGAAGAAGAATAGCCGCCAGACATGCTTGTTCTGTATTCAGGCCACCATTTATTTTTTTAACACATTTTTTCCCTTTTTTTATGTGTTGTAATTTAAGATCTTTTTAATTTTTGTTTTCGTTGCAGCCTTCTTCTATGTTCACCCTTTAAAAAAAAGTCCCTTTTGGAACCCCAGGAATGTTTTAAACCAATTAATCATGTATAACTGTCTCTGTATGAAATATCCCCTTTTATTTGCTGTTTGTGTAACATTACCAATGCCATTTGAATTGGATCAAATAATCTAAGATTTTATTGTCATTTCCTATCCATGTATAGGTTCAGCTGTAAAAAGAGAACATACAAGTATTATTTTCCTAAGGGAAATCTTGATATTCAGGTAATCTATATTTTCATGGAAATATATTCTTTAATTTTTGTTTTATCATGAAATAAGTTTAAAATTTTTTTTGTTGGGTTTTTTGTTTGTTTGTAATTTTTATAGTAAACAAGTAATTTACTTTGTGTTTTTGTCATATAATAGTAAGGAAAGTGGATCTGATGACTTTAAATAATTTACTTTTAATAAATTTCTTTTCCTCCTGCTTCTTCTTCTTCTTCTGAACCTCTCTTCCTTCTTCTTCGTCTTCTTCCTCCTCCTCCTCCTCCCCCTCCTTCTACTCCTAATGATGTATAGTGTTTAAAGCATGCATTATTAAAGATCTTTGTCTTCCTTTAACTTCCAGAAAATGAATGAGGCCGCTGCAAAGTTGGTCGGAGAGCATGATTTCCGAAATTTATGCAAGATGGATGTCGGAAACGGGGTTGTCAATTTTACCAGAAAAATACTCCGAGCCGATGTTGCAGTGTTCACTGAGGTGTAAGTATGTCAGTTAGTTGGTTAAATACCTCTGGTTGGTTGGTTGGATGGCTAACTGATTGGCTGAATCTCTGACTGACTGGCTGGCTGGTTTGATCTTTGACTGGCTGGTTTGATCTTTGACTGGATGGCTGACTGGTTGGATCTTTGAATCAATGGCTGGCTGTTTTAATTTTTGGTTGGATGCCTGGCTAGTTGGATCTTTGATCGGATGCCTGGCTGGTTAGATCTTTGATTGGATGCCTAGCTGGTTGGATCTTTGATTGGATGCCTGGCTGGTCAGATCTTTGATTGTAGGCTGGCTGGTTGGATCTTTGATTTGGATGCCTGGCTGGTCAGATCTTTGATTGGATGGCTGACTGGTTGGATAGTTGATTGGATGGCTGGCCGGTTGGATCTTTGATTGGATGCCTGGCTGGTTGGATCTTTGATTGGATGCCTAGCTGGTTGGATCTTTGATTGGATGCCTGGCTGGTCAGATCTTTGATTGTAGGCTGGCTGGTTGGATCTTTGATTTGGATGCCTGGCTGGTCAGATCTTTGATTGGATGGCTGACTGGTTGGATAGTTGATTGGATGGCTGACCGGTTGGATCTTTGATTGGATGCCTGGCTGGTTGGATCTTTGATTGGATGCCTAGCTGGTTGGATCTTTGATTGGATGCCTGGCTGGTTAGATCTTTGATTGGATGGCTGGCTGGTTGGATCTTTGATTGGATGCCTGGCTGGTCAGATCTTTGATTGGATGCCTGGCTGGTTGAATCTTTGATTGGATGCCTGGCTGGTTGGATAGTTGATTGGATGGCTGGCTGGTTGGATCTTTGATTGGATGGCTGGCTATTGGATCTTTGGTTGGATCTTTGGTTGGATGGCGGGCTGGTTAAATCTTTGGTAGGATCTTTGATTGGATGGCTGACTGGTTGGATCTTTGATTGGATGGCTGGCTGGTTGGATAGTTGATTGGATGGCTGGCTGGTTGGATCTTTGATTGGATGCCTGGCTGGTTGGATCTTTGATTGGATGCCTAGCTGTTTAGATCTTTGATTGGATGCGTAGCTGGTTGGATTTTTGATTGGATGCCTGGCTGGTTGGATCTTTGGTTGGATGGCTAATTAGCTGAAATCCTGCAAGGTCTGAAAGGTAAACTCAGTAAGTCAGTTATTGTGAATAATGTGAGGAGGGGGGGGGGGGGTAGTCTGAGAGAGGCAAGGGGACAAGAAAGAAAGGGAGTGAAGCAGAGTATGATAAGTTTATGTGTTTTTATGTCCACAGAGACGGTGGCTACTCCATGTGTGAGCTGACCATTGTTGGGCTGGCCTTTCTGTGGCATCAGATCCGTTGCATTGTCTCTGTTCTCTTCTTGGTGGCTCAAGGGAAGGAGGATGCCATGGTGAGTCTGCCAACACGAATCGGGTCTTTAGTTGTGGTTGGAGTTCGTGATCTTTGCCAGGGTCTGTGTTCTTTGTGTGTGTGTGTGTGGGGGATGTCTGTGATCATGTTAGGCTCACTGAAATAGCATGTTTGCCTCAGATTACTCTTGGTAATTGAGAAGTCTGTTAGAACTGATGAAATACTGACGTTTGTCTCAGATCACTCTTGGTAAAGGAGAATTCTGATAGAACTGATGAAACAAGGATGTTTGTCTCAAATTACTCTTGGTACATGAGAAGTTTGTTAGAACTGATGAAATAGGGGGGTTTGTCTCAGAGCATGAGTTGTTTATCTTTCATACTTCTAAGATACTGTGTTTGTGTCATTTTTCAGATCGTTGAAGAGCTGCTGGATGTAGAGAAGAACCCACGGAAGCCACAGTACGCCATGGCTTCAGGTAAAGATTTTCTGTTTTATAAATATGTGTGTGTGTATGCGCCTGCGTGTGCGTGCGCACACACACATATATTTCATCATCCTATTTTTAGGCTATATTATAAGTCACACAAGGTGCAGTCTAGTCTTTCATTCTGTCCTGTACTATTCTTTCAATATCACAGACAAAATCCAGTCCAGCCCCACTGTCCTCTCTCAGCAATGTTTGTTTTAGGGTTTCCTCTTGGATGTTCTTGTTTCCTCAGTTCATTTGTTTCCAATTTCAGTGCCTGTCACACTCCCCATCACCATGGGCTGTGAGTCCCATGCTTCCTCATAGCGCAGTATAATACTATCATCTGGAAAGACGGAAAAGTGCCAGTCACTGCTGCTGTTAACATAGAAGCAAATAGATTGAGAAAATGAGGACATCCAGAACAAACCCTAAGGCTAAATTAGATGTGAGAGGCCAATGTTGCTGGACTGGACACCATACATGATATTGAAACAGTTGCACAGTGTGGATAGAGTGGAAGAATAAAATGTACCCTTTGTGACATATAATGACACAAGAAGAAGAAGATGATTATCTAAATCAGTGTTTACCAAAGTATGGGCCCGTTTGATTGTTAATTGGGGCAGTTTAGAAAATGTACCCATACAAAGTTAAAGTTACATGGGGGGGGGGGGGGGGGGGGGGGGGGCATAATAATTGTATAAAGTCTATTGAGACTAGAAGAATGCTAATCCCTCCAAGACCAGACAAGTAGAACACCTTGTATGGAGGAAAAGAAGTTTGTGGAAACATGCAAATTCCACTACATGGCATTGGGCTAGAGGGCAAAAGCTCATGTGCCGCTGGATCGATAACAACAGCAAAGTCTTAGGTGTGCAGCAAAACACACACACACACAAAATAATGATTGGGAAACTGGTCTAAATCTTACTACAGGTGAAGGTTAAGACAGTAGAGAAGCAGGGAGGTTGTGAAGCAAATGGGAGGGCAACATCCAGAGCTGCACAAACGGGAGTCTTTCAGAGAAAACCACCAGAAACAGTATTGGGGATCTATGGAAGTCAGTGATTACTGTCAAGGTCACAGTTTGCTGATTGACGACTGGTGAAGTTGAGTTAGAAACGGACTTCATAGCACTCAGGACATTCCTATAAGTGCTGCATTCCCACCTTTCTTCTGCCTTCTGTCCCCAAATGAAGCACATGTCTTCAGCCAACCCACACCAAATCATTTACTTCTGCAATTTGCTGTATTATGCAGGTAAACCCATGTCTTAGTCATCTTTATAACTTTACTCTCTAGTTCCCTTCTTTATGTAGGGGGGGGGGGGGCGGCCTTTATCTCTGTGCACCTATAGATTCCAGTGCAAAGACATTCTAGTTAAATGTCCCCCATCTTTAGCAGCCAGCAAAGAGTTCCAATTCTATTGTTCCAGTGACAGTTTAATTGTATGTCCATCTTGCCTCTTCCCCGAGTGTTGAGCTTTGTCCACATTGCCCTGGTCACTTCCAGCTGCACCATTCTCTCCAGACGATGATGATCTATTTGTGCAGTTGCACTGTTCACTTGCTCTCGTAAGGCCTTGATTACCGTCTAGCTTGTTATGCATCATTTTACCACCAAATCCAACCAGTCGGTCTGGCTGTTCATTTGCAAACACACCTGAATACCCCGGAGATAATACCTTAACCAGCCAGTCTGCCTATTCATTCACAAACACACCTGAATTCTCTAGAGAAAATGTCCACAAGATATTTTATTTGAATATATATATATATATATATATATATATATATATATATATATATATATATATATATATATATATATATATATATATATATATATATATATATATATATATATATATATATATAATAATAAAATTAATAATGATGAAAACAAAGAATTGTGACATGTTACTAGCTGTGCTCACTGATGTGCTGTCTCTTTCCAGAGCTGCCGTTAATACTGTTTGACTGTGAGTTTGGCGATGACCTTGAGTGGATATACGAAGCAGGTGAGACATGCATGTTTTTTGTATGAGGGTTTGATCCTTGGTAAAGGCTGGAAATTTAATATGTGGGAGGCAAAACTAAAATTCCTAACCTCTACAGTTCATGGTGACCGCACTAGCTTTGCGGCCTTAATTCCTCTGCTCAGGGCCTACACCGCTCTAAAAGTGGTAACAATAGACAAGTGTTTTTTTTTCTTTCTTGATATATATATTTGTGTTTGCTTGTGTTTATATCTGTGCATTGAACAGTTGACCGCAAGTTTGTGGCCTCTCTATATTTTCTGTTTACACTTTCATGCACTGCAAAGCTATTCATCTGGCAGCCTGCAGGCCAAATCTGGGCCCCAGATGCATAGAAATGGCCCGCGGGTTCCACATCAATTGTATTGTCTTAATGGTCTTTCTATGCCTCTGGCCTGTGACAGACCCTGTTTTTTCAACATGTTGTCCCTATTTTCTAACATGTTGGCCCTGTTTTCCAACATGTTTTCCATATTTTCCAACATTTTGGCCATGGAGTAAAGAGTTGAATAGCCCTGATGTAGTGTCTCATTGTTCTTTTAGTGCAGTGGTTCTCCATTATCTAATATATGCAGAACTTTCTTTTTTTCTCCCGAAGTTCATCTATGGAACCCATACTTGTTTAACCATACTTGTTTAATAGTCACACTGAAGAACTTATCATAATTGATAAATATTCATCAAAATCAATCAGATTTATAAAATTCATTAACGTCAATCTGATTTATCTATTCCTCAACATTAATTATATTTATAAATAATCATCATTGATCAGCAAGTGCCTTACAGAACATTGCTCTCATTACATCCGACCTCTCTTTTTCTTTACCCAGTTCTCCAGCCCTATGTGCTTTCATAGCCAGTGCATCTTAAGTGTCTTGTATCCACATTTGCAGAGGTCTGCCTCTGCCTCTTTTTCCTGAAACTGTACCCTCCATCACCACTCTATCCAGACCACCATGACATTGAGAGCATGGCCAAAATACCTCAGCTTTCAGGACAGGATGCAGTTTATGAGCCATTTTATAAATATGAGAATTACGAAAAAGGTCAGTGTTCTCAAAATTAGGGATTTTGGTGCCTGTGATGTCACGGAACCATTCAATTTATTCTGCAGACCTATGTGGCGTTCATAGACCACTGAAGGTAAAAACATTTTAATAGTTTCTTTAAATTGAAATACAAGCACAAACTACCCTGATACAACTGTTCACGGTAAAAATGTAAGTGGGTATATATGCTAATTGTTCTGAAGGTCCTGTGTGATTGTTGATTGTGTATGTCCACAGACTGGCATGAAGACAACATCCGACACCTTCAGCAGATGTGGGCCCAGTACTCTGTGAAGTAAGTGTCCTTGGCGTCATCTTCACATAGTCATTTCAGCTGAAACAGTGAAGCTGTGAACATGTCATGAAGAAATTGATCTCAGTAAAACTGAAAACATTTTTCTTTTAAAATCTCAGTAAAGCAATAAAAATAATATGAAAAAATCAAGCTTTAAAAATATAGTGAAAAGTCAATCAAAATAAAGATATACAATTGTCATAATAAAACAATAGTCTTATCAAGAAAGAGAACTAATTGGTTTCCCATAAAAGACAAAAACAACTTGGCTACGGGGCCTTCTGTTGTTGTTCTGATCTGAGAAGGCCTGGTATCCATCTTGTCAAACTACCCAGGAGATGATCAGGGTTTGCCATATCATTAGACACAAATTATTCTTGTAAAAAACAAGTCTTGTCCTGATACTTTGAGCATCTACAGCAGATACCATAGCCTCTCAATAATGCCTTCCTACAAATACTAATGAGATGTAGAATATTTTGTGATGTGCGCCGTGCATAATGTTTATACATGTGTTCTTTTTTTTCACCTTCAGGGCAACAATGATCAAGCGTATGCTGGAAGAACTGGATGTGGCCAGGGTTGAAACAGGTATGAATGTTTAGGAAGGGGTGTAGAGGGAGCTGATGGGAGGGTAAAGAGTGGATGGTGAGGAAGTTGATGAGCGGGTAGAAAGGAAATGATTTGACCCTGATAGCTAAATCAGAGGCACATCTTCAGTCCATCTTACATGTTTGAAAGAAAGAGCTTGAGAAGAAAGGGATGACCATCAATGTCTCCGGAACTGAAACCATGGTGATGTCAAGAGAGGAGAAGAAACATCAGATTATGATGGAACAGAGTGCACTGAAGCAAGTCAGCCAGTTTAAATACTTTGGAGCTGTAATAGACCAGAATGGACTTTTCCAGGCCATAAACCGAGGGTATCTCAGCAAGAGCGAATTTAGCAAGGGGACAAAAATGGCAAGAAGGGACAAAGTTCGCTATCGGAAAATCCATCATGAACTTTGAATCCCAGGCCTCACATACTCAGATGAATCAGTCACAGGATGGTTTGAACATGAATGCAGAATGTGAGAGAAACAGTCACCACTGGGTTTATTGTCCAATTCATGAGTGCACTTTCTCTGAATTCTTCTCTATCACTGGAGATACTAAATCCATGTTTGGTGTGAAATTTGAGGCAGGTGGCTGCCCACTCTGTGGTGAGATGCTGAACCAAATGGGATAAAACCCGTTGCAGTAAAGTCGGTCAGAGATTCACACTAAACAGGCTCTGAAATGCGAAACCAGTGGACTGAGGAAATGAGAAACCCTAAGTTAAAAGTTGTTAAAAGAGGCCAGAGTTGCTAGACCAGATTCCATCCATGATGTAGAAAGGATCACACAGGATAGAGTAGAATAGAGGACTGCACTGTGAGCCAGTCCTGTGTGATATATAATATCCTGACAGAATGATGATGTATGGTTCTACAGAACGATGATGACGATGTATGGTGCGACGGACTGATGATGTATGGTGTAACAAATTATGATGATGTTAATCAATTCTATCACATTATTTTAAACCTTTTTTTTTACGTCTTTTGACAGCGTCAGACATTGCCCCCTGGAATGAACT